ACCTTTCCTCATAGGACCTACCCTGCTGTCCCTTGATCATACGAGTGGCCCTCCTCTGGACCCTCTCGATGCTGTCCACATCCCTCTTAAAGTGCGGCGCCCAGAACTGGACGCAGTACTCCAGCTGCGGCCTGACCAGTGCCGCATAGAGGGGGAGGATCACCTCCTTGGACCTGCTTGAGATGCATCTGTGGATGCACGACAAGGTGCAGTTGGCCTTCCTAGCCGCCTCCCCACATTGCCGACTCATGGTTACCCAAGAGGCCAATCAGGGGACATGGAGGGTGAGTCTGTGGGGCCTGATCGGTGAGTAAAGGGAATCCCAAATACTCCAATCATCTTTTACCCAGTCAAAACCCCTGGGCCAAATCATTACCAGATTGGTGAGGAAAAGGAATCCCAAGTCCTCCAATCATCTTTTGCCCTTTCAAAACCCCTGAGCTAAGTCACTGCCAGCTAGCCCATCACAGATCTAAAGACCAATAAAGGACTTGGGAGCCCAAAAGTTAAGTGCTATGTGGCCCCTGCTATAGAGACCAGAACACTGAATGCTAATCAGCTCAGTGTTGATCAGTTTAGTGAAGCAGTCACACCTTAAGGAAAAAACCTTCTCTAACTGTTCTTCACCTGCACAGCCGTGAAGGACTTGCCACTAGAGGCTTGGTGATCAGGGACAGAAATAAGAGCTAGGGGCAGGACTAGGACCTGTGCACAGCCCAAGGTGGAGGCAGTACCCCTGGGGATCAGAATGCCAATCAGAAGCATCCCTGTCAACCCAGGTGACATCAGGGCCTGATCCATGCAAGGGCTGGGGCACATGTGGGTGGGGGAAGAGGGGTTGCTGGCCATGGGGAGGGGCCACACACTCTGGGCAGTGGGGGAGGACTGGGGAACACCCCCCAGCCCAGCTCCATCCTGAACTGCCCCCTACAGCTGCTCCAATAGTCCCCTCCCTGGGGACTGTCTCCTGCCCAAATTCTGCCTGGCTGCAATGGGCACCCCCCCCCCACTCCTCAGACAGAAGCCCCCTGTTGTGAGGACCTCCAAATATCCTGGACCCAGATCCCCTGGTCCCTGAGGACCTCCAGTCTTCCAAAGACCCCCAGATCCCCAGGAAATGCTTGGATACCCCCATGCACCCCTGAAACCTCCAGATCCCCTTGAGATCCCTGGAGGCACCCACATTCCAGCCCCGCTGCCCCGCCAGGCCCCAGCTGAGACCCCTGGTGCAGAGTCATGCGGGAGGAAGGTGAAATCTGGAACCTGAGCTACTGGGACAGGAGCAGCTATGGTCAGACTTGCCCAACCTGGATGTGCCCCTGAGTTTATCAGCAAGTGCTAGGGAGAGGAGGCACAGGTCTGGGCTCCACTGCACTCCCAGACGCCCCCAGGCCACAAGGTTGCTCAGAACCAGGTGAAGTTCTCTGGCAGGTCCCCCCCCCCATATCAAATGCCTTCTGGTGCTGAGTCCCAGAGCTCCAAGACTGCCGCCGCTGTCTGACATCCCTAGTGAAAAGAGCCCAGTGAGGGCCAGGGCCAGGAACATATCCTGCACAAATATTTGAACTCAACTCTGTTGACTTCAAACTTGGCTTAGAAAGAAGATTCAGGGGTTTTACTTAAGTAGTAAAGAGTTGATCAAAGAAGGACTCTGAGAGAGATGAAAGGAAAAAAAAAGAAAGAAAATAGGATCTTCCAAAGTCAAACGCAATGGGCTCAGCTAAGCAAGGGAGAAGAACCACAAAGAAAGCCATGGGAACCTACCAAAAACAGGCCTTCAAAGAGAAGAGAGTGGTGCCTCCCCACTGCTGAAGGAAATGTCACATAAATGCAGCAAGGCCCGATGCACACTTGTTTAGTGAAGACATTTCCAGTAGAATAACGATAATTCGCTGATGATACCAAAATTTGCGGTGAGGTGAGCATGCTAGTAGGGTGGGAAAGACTGCAGCAAGACCTGGATAGGTTACAGGGGTGGGCTAACAAAAACAGGATGTGTTTCAATACTGACAAGTGCAGGGTGCTGCACTTGGGCAGTAGTAACCAGCAGCACACTTA